CAAAGTGAAATATGCACTTGCAATCTGGTGATAATTACTTTAATCATCTATTTTGATTTAGTGCCTACTTGTTCATGACAAAGTTGATGAAGTTTCTTCATGTCATGTATTTACTTGGAGGTGGAGCGTTCTAGGCATAAGTGACTTTTAAGAGTCTTCCCCCCAAAAACCCCGTCAATCATTCATAATGCTGACAAACAGTTTGTAGACTGGACCTAAGTCTCAGATCAATCTAAAATCAACTATTTCAGCTATGTGCAAATTTGTGTTCTCTATTTGTACATTTGGAATTATTTTATCATGTTTCAGTCACAATATATCTGCCAGATTTCCTGATGAATTACTACAATCATCAATCAACAGGTAATATAAACCTAATTTTAGGAGCTTTTCATATTGTGCCATGTTACCATATTTTGTCGCCCTAAAGACCTTGATTGGTTGCTTTAGGTGTGTTTCATTATGGTTGGGTTTGGTTTATTGGCTCTACAGAAGTATACAGAGTATAGATTTATTGAAACCCCGCTGAAAATCTGTGCAATTACTTGAAGACTGCAGTCCACAAACGCTCACCATCAAACTGAACCGAACTTGAGCAGTTCTGCAAAGAAGAGCGAGCAAATATTGCAAAGTCTAGATGTGTAAAGTTAGTAGAGACATATCCGAACAGACTAAAGGCTGTAATTAGCTGCAAAGCAACAAAATGTGATTATTTTAAAGAGGGGTGATTATTTTCTATACCCACTGTAATAGCACAGAAAATATCTAGCAGTTTTATGCTTCAACCACATGGGCCAAACGTTATAGTGTATCTACAAAGAGATAAAACAGAAATTAGTTTGCATACAAAACCATCAAAAGTGTAAACAGCAGAAGAAAATGACTGGACATTCAAAATGATTTCTGTTCAAAATGATTCTGTTCTCACAAAGTGAAATAATTGCACTCCTTTTTCTCAGAAAATGAATTTTATTGAGCATGTGCTGAATAAGTGTCATCTCTCTACTCATGACTGGACATGAATACAGTTTGTTGCCATAATTAACCTGTGCAACAGGAAAGGTGCCCTATGTTGGAGGAAAGAAAAATCCTTATGGTGAACACTCATGATGATGGCAGGTTATTCAGTATGTCCTCAAGCATATTTGTCAGAATCTGTTATGTTAGATAAGATGCTAATAATACCTTATCCTTAATAAAAAACTAAAATAATGACATCAAGACTGTTGTAAACATAAGTACATCTAATCAACATGACATAGATGTGAAATTATTTGCTTTATTTCAGTTGATTTGCTGTTAGTCTTCTTGATTTCTCATTGATTTCTCTCTCTCTCTAGTTGACAAAATAAGGCAAACTAAAATGCATCATCACAGTCTGATTAGTACAGAATAAGAAATAATAAAATGTCACTTTGTCTTTCTTAAATTATAATCACTTGAGAAAACCACTACAATACAAAAAAAAAAAAAGTTATATTTTTGTAAGCAAATGAACAAAGATATCCAGACAGTAACTGTCTTTGAACTGCTTTATCTACAACACTTCTTGATTGAGTGAAAGTTGTAGCCCTTGGTATGGACCACAGGATTCACAGAGGAGGCAAAAATAATGGTAGTTAAACAAACATCAACCCTGAAAAGATACATATTTATACAGTTTACAGTATTGCTTATGAACTGCACTGAGCTTGCAACACTGTAAAGCAAATATTATAACAAAAGCTCTAGAACAGAGATTTGAAATTCAACAAATACATTTTGTCATTCAAAAACATTGACAGTATCATAATACACACATTATTTGAACATTATTTAAAAACGTTCCTTTTTAAATAATCATCATGTCATTGTATAAAATCTAAAAAAGAATGTCTGTCATCAAGTTGCTTTTTAAAAACAAAAAAAAAACAAACAAAAAAAGCCATGCAGATGGTCATTGAAAGTTTTTTTTCTTTAAGAAAAGGCTCATCACAATATCAACATTCAATACAATTCCTTCCGAGAAAAGCAAAACCAGCAAAACCAATGTTTTTGGCTTCTCCAGATGTAGAATGCAACTACACAGCTTCACAGGTAATTTTGTGCATTAGAAATGACAATAGAAATCAATCCCCAAGTCCATCAAATGTCCATCACAGTTAAACTTTGATTTAACTGATCCAATTTCTCATATTGTGACATTTTATTATTATTTTACAAAAAATATTTCTGAAGTAGTTCAGATAGTTGGTGGCTATACTGGTAGACAGCCAATTTTCAAGTCCATCGCAAACTAAAGGTGCACTTCATTTATTAAAATAGATTTAACTTTCTATCAGTTATTAGTATTTGTCAAATGTCCCACAGAGCTCACACAGAGTTAAGTCCCATCTGTATCACTGTGATTTCTGGATTTTCTCAGTGCTTTTCTGTATGTTTAGACACTCTTCCTAAGGATGAAATCATAAAAACAGCTTTAGTCAACAAAAAAATAGAGTTCAGAAATACTGCATTTTATGGACATGAGAGACGAAAGTGTGACATCTGTCATAAGCCTTTTAAAATCTGCCAGTTTTTGCCTTTTCCCCCTTTTTGCCAGCTTCAGTAAATTATTGTGCAATGAGAACTTGATTTAGTCAAAAGTTGTTAGTTTATTTATGCATAACCAAATTAATATAATGTGCTCGTTTTATGACATCACAACCCAAAATGTTTCTGAACACCTGAACTGTAGGTCTATGAGACTGAACGATGACTGTCATCACGGCCTTACCTTGAATGACGCCATTTTTCTACCTATCGTTGCTACCTATGATTGACTTTAAGGGGTTGGCTTCCTACTGCATATACATCCAGATGAACCAACCACTTTCTCTTGCCTGGAACACCTCCGCTCAGGGTGACAAGTGATGGTTCTGGCTGGAGTATACATATGCAATAGTATGTATCCAATGTGACACATGCTGTTTCAAAGCTGGTCAACTAGCATTTTTCTCATCAAAACATCTCAATGTAGGCGTATAGCGGTGGGGGATCAAGTAAATTACTTGATTGACCGTATAGTCAGGAAGGCCATATTTGGCCTTCACCTTAGAGAAAGATTGGTAATGGCCATCAACAGCCCTGTATCAGACATAAGAGAAACAGGAACCCATGTGTGGCAGGAGGGGTGTGGCTGAGTGGAGTCTGTAAAAGGAGATGAGTGGGGAGAAAGTGGGCCAATTGTCTGATAACTAACAGCTGTTTCCACTCTTAGTAACAGGCAGAAAGAGAGAATATAAGTTGATGGCCTGTCTGGGACAGGGAGAAAGAAGCAAGCCCAATTCCCAACAGTGTTCCGATCTGCTGAGATGCTGATTTTGTTGTGCCTTGCACAGTTTTTTCTTTTGAGTTCAATAAAAGAATGTAGAATTTCTCTCACCACCTTCGACATCTCTATCCCACAACTTAGACCAGGTTTCCTCAAATCCGATCCTGGAGGACCACTGCCCTGCAGAGTTTAGCTCAAACCCTGATCAAACTCACCTACCTGTGATTTTCTAGGGATCCTGAAGACCTTGATGGGTTAAACTCTGCAGGGCATTGGCCCTCCAGGGCGAGATTTGAGGAACCCTGACTTATACCTTGCTACAGTGCCATAACATGGGGGGATGAGTTCACCGCCATGGAGTCCTCACCCCTTGCTGAGATGGTTAAGACAGTACCCGGGCTCCACCAAACACAACATCAGGTCCTCTTGGACTTGAGGATGGAACAAGAACAGCACTGCTACCTGCTCCTAAGGGTCAGGAGGGCCGGGCTCCAGACACAATGCTCATTGATCCTCATGGGCCACTCACCAAGATCCTAAAAGGAATGGGACAAATGGCTGGAAGCCCTATTATTTAGGGTGCGGAAGATCCTGCAAGCCTCCAGTGGTTTTTTCCCATTTGAGCTAATCTATGGACATTGACCACGAGAGCTGCTCAACATCCTTAGAGAGGCTTTGGAGACAGACCTTCTAACAGCCAGAAAATAATTCTAACATGATGTGTCTGTGGGTGAGTATCAACGACGACATAGAAACCCCAGTGTGCCTAAAAAGCTGGGAGTGTGTAAACAGGGCTCTATAGACCAATTCCATAACATCCTAGTCTTCAGGATTTACGACTTTCTATAGAATGGCCAGGAATATGGCCTCTGCACTACACTAGATCTGTCAGGCTTTATGTGTAGCTAAATTTTTAGGTCCGACACACTAAATTATTTGTTTTTTTCACACTCCTTCTGGGGATGCCGTGGGTTCTCAATCACCTGGTCTGGGTCCAGGGATGTTAGTGCCAGCATTTCACGCTCTACCACTACCACTGATGCCTGTTTCTGAAGCATACTGTATTTTGGCAAAACGCTTGCAACTAGAACTGAACTGAGGTGCAGCTTTGGGATTATTCCAGGCTTCACTGAGAATCTGTGAATAATCTTTAGCAAGAGAAACAGAGAATGAAGACTGGAGCTAGGAAACCCCAGTCTAGAAGTTAAACTCTGCAAGATAGTGGCCCTCCAGGAGCAGAACTGGAAACCCCTGATATACAATCTTGAAGAAAGAAGTGAGGAAGAGAGAAAACCAACCCAGAAGACATCTCTCTTTGGATATCCAGCTGTGAAGAGTCTGGAAGGTTTATCTGAGCATCTGGTGGTATCTCATCAGTGCTAAGAATTTGAGCACAAGCCTCCTGTAAGACATAGGGAATGGGATTATTGGTGAAAAACTAAAATAGACTTTAGCAATAGGCAAATCACAGCCGTGCTGATAAACAGTTATGACACACAACCATTACCAAAACTTCTGGCACATTGACTAAGCTGTCTTTTGCAGTCAGGTGCGATGACTCTATTGAGGAGGCAGCTGCTGGGGACATGGTTTCCTGCTCCGGACCAGGAGTAGCACCTATGGAAAGAGAACGAAAAGAATGGGAATAATGCCTTTCACGTGATAAACCTCAATCTACGTAGTGTGTTAAACTCACAAGAATCAGTTGGGGATGGTGATATTGATGACCCTGAAGTCAATCTCAACTGTGAAAGATCAAGCTCACCACAGCAGTCCATTTCCTGTTTCCCAGAGGGCAGTGCGGCGTCATGTTTGCTTGTGCTAATGCGAACAGCTATTGCTTCCTCCTGGGGGTCCTTGTTTAGGGCGTGCTTAGATCCACTCTGCTGTACGGTAGAATCTACAAAGTGCTGAGGACTTATAATGTTTGATGAAGTCTCAGGAGGTTCACAGGAGTGGGGGCGCATGGCAGCTATGGGGACCATACCCTGAAGCACTGCAGCTGGAATCGAATGCGCCCCCATGCCAACTGTCTGGGCTGGTACGAACGCCCATTGCTGCTGGCCCGTGGCTGGAGAGTGGAAGAGGTTAGCCTGACCCCAGATCACAGGCTGACCTCCAGGAAGCATCTGGGCCACCTGCAATGGTCCCTGAACCCCAAAAGCCATTGGAGCAGCCTGGGTAGCAAAAGACTGTTGGGTCCAGTGAGCATGACCCATGGTCATATAACCTGAGAAACAAGAACAGCCTTTGAGAGTGAGTTTTATTTATAACATTCATTTTAAAAAATTGCATACAAATCTGAACTTTGATGAAATATAAACCCTCAGGCAGTTGCTAGATCTGCTTATTTTTTGTCTCTTTTAGAAGAAAACAAACACAACCCCAGGTACTTATTCAATACAGTGGCTAAATGAAAAAAAAAATAAAGCATCAGCAGGCATAGACATTTCCCAACAGCACAGCAGTAATGACTTTATGAACTTCTTTACTTCCAAGATCGATACTATTAGAGATAAAATTATAACCATGCAGCTGTCAGCTAAAGTATTGCATCAGACAGTGCACTATAGATTCCCTGGGGGAACAGTTCCACTCATTCTCTGCTATAGGACAGGAAGAATTGCATAAACTTGTTAAATCATCTAAACCAACAATATATATGTTAGACCCCATACCATCTAAGATACTAAAAGAGGTGCTTTCAGAAGTCACAGATCCTCTTCTGGATATCATTAATTCATGAATGTCATTAGGATATGTCCCAAAAACCTTCAAACTGGCTGTTATTAAGCCTCTCGTTAAAAAAAACACAACTTGATCCTGGAGAATTAGTTAATTACAGACCGATCTCAAATCTCCCTTTTCTCCAAAGATACTAGAAAAGGCAGTATCCTCACAACTATGTTCTTTCTTAAAGAAAAATGGTATCTGTGAGGATTTCCAGTCAAGATTTAGACTGTATCATATACAGTGACTGCTCTCGTCAGAGTTAAAAATGGCCTGCTTTTATCATCCGATCGTGGTTGTATCTTTCTATTAGTGCTACTGGATCTTAGCACTGCATTCGCCACTATCGACCACAACATTCTTTTGAATAAACTAGAAAATTATGTTTGCATTGGCATGGTTCAAATCATACTTATCTGACCATCACCAATTCATAGCAGTATTATATCGTTCACATGCAGTACGGAGTACCCCAAGGCTCAGTACTAGGACCGTTGCTTTTCACACTTTACATGTTACCCTTGGGAGATATAATCAGGAAACATGGTGTTAGGTTTCACTGTTATGCTGATGATACAGTACTCAGCTCTATATTTCTTTGCAGCCTGACAAAACATACCAAATCACAAAACTAACAGAATGCATAGCTGATGTTACGTACGCTGTGCTATGTCAGCTTGCTTATGTATATGTTATTGTATGGGTGCGTTCGTATGTATGCTTTGTTTGTTCCAGATGCGAAGCTCATTGGCGGATCTGCCTGTCACTCTGCTGACGTTGGACGCTGACGTCAGTGATTGCGCCACCAATGGTCTGCGGCCGCGCAGTTTATTTAAAGTTCACTAATGTTAATGGCGATTAGGCTGGACTGGGTGATGTTATGGCTCTGTGAGGACGGTTCTTCTCTCTCTTGCGAGAAGACCAGTCTGAGAGTCTGTTGTTGGCTAGCGTTACGGTTCTGTTTTTCTTGCCGTAGTATCAGTGATTTGCTTGTTGTTGATTATGACTTTGATGTGCGTGTTGCACTTGTCTGATGTTGTCCGATCAAGGTGCCGGTTGTGAAACTCCTGTCCATTTACTGATGAGAGTTGTGTGAATTGTGTTGGAGAGGTTGTGAGTAAGGTAAGCATGTCGCGACATACATTCACATGTAGGTTTTCACTACTGTATTAGACACATCAGGTTAGTGCGAGAGGTGCTCATTTTGTATGTTTTTGTTTGGTTAGTTAGAGTAAGGTTAGGAATGGCGTCTTGTACGCTGAAGATGTTTGTTTCTACATTTTCTGTTGATAGATAGTTATGTTTTGGTTAACCTTAGTTATTGGGAGTTTTGCTTTTGTTTAGTTTCTTGATTTAAGCATCTCTCTCGCTCCTTCCTCTCCTCCAACCTACTCCCGACTGTCATTCATTGATTGTACATATTGTAAATATTTACTTTAATACTTTACTCTCTTTCTCTCAAGCACTTTACAAGAGAATTAAACATTGTGGCGGAATTATTAGTTTTGTGGCTGGTTCTCTTCTTTGTGCAGCTCCTTCCCATTTTTGATATGCACACACTTAAATTTTTGTATGTTATATCTACCAGTATTCCTAGACGAACCATAGCTGATTGGTGAGGGACGTAACAGCTGATATAAAAAAAACTGGATGACTAGTAATTTCCTACTGCTAAATTCTGAAAAAAAAATCAGAGGTGTTAATTATCAGACCAAAAATCTCTGAATGTAATAATCTAGAACACTGTCTAACACTTGATGGCTGTGCTGTCAATTCTTCGTCATCAGTTAGGAACCTAGGTGTGCTATTTGATAGCAATCTTTCCTTTGAAAGTCATGTTACTAGCATTTGTAAAACCGCATTTTTCCATCTTATAAATATTTCTAAATTACGACCAATGCTCTCAATGTCAAATGCAGAAGTGTTAATTCATGCGTTCATAACCTCAAGGTTAGATTATTGTAATGCTTTATTTAGTAGTTGCTCTGCGCGCTTAATAAACAAACTCCAGTTGGTCCAAAATGCAGCAGCTAGACTTCTTACTAGAACCAGGAAGTATGACCATATTAGCCCGGTTCTGTCAACACTGCACTGGTTCCCTATTAAACATGGCATACGTTTTAAAATCTTGCTAATTACTTATAAAGCCCTGAATGGTTT